CGTGTACTGTACAGAATGGGACGGAACATATTGTATCATCACGACCAGACGCGTCCGCTGGATGGACGAGGCAGACGTCCTGGGCGAAGGCCACCGCCCAGGGTGCACAGAGTCACCGTGCCGGCGGCCGGCAGCCGAACACCTCCTGATAGTAGCCGTGGTACATTATGTGTGTTCGCCTGTGCATGTGTGTGTATACCTATGTATTTACCAAAAGAGATAAATACAACCAACCAGAATCAAATTCTCTTCGGTTAGTTGTTACGTGTTCTTCAATGCTCGGGTATGTGACGTCTAAGAACATGAATAACCACAAGACATTGATAAGAACTTGGGACATAACACATGTGAAACCCTCTGTGACGAAATTTACGCCCACCTTATTAGGTACGTATGCCAACGTAATAAACTAAAACTACGCCTGTAAAGAACACATCTAATTCTAAAATCTCGCAAGCATACAATGCCTTACGAATGCTTTGCGGCGCCAACACATATATGTATGAACGACTTCTATACCTTACTTTGAATTTCGTCATGTGGCGTCCTGAAAACGTCATCAGCAATTTTTCAGCTATAGCTTTTGATCAAACCACATAAGAACAATGAAAGCTTTTTCCATGCGATTATCTTGATAATCGGCCAAAGCGATTGGTAAACTACATGACCATTTCAAGTCAGGTCATAACCTTTACTAGCGTGATAATCGACCTGAGCCCATGAACTGCGGTAAAATATAATCTTAACCAATCAAAGCCAATTTGCATACTATTCGATGCGTCTCGGTGAGAGAATCACAACGATGGTAAAATGGACGACATGCAAGCATTGTATCAAAAGTTATTGCACAAAAACTATTTGGGGTAAAAACGCACGCTCCGCGGATTTCGCCCCCTGTAGGCCAAAATGGTACCTCCATCCAGACGATTTTTACTTTTTGCAACGGGGAGATATTTTCTGAGCATGCTCAATGCATTTTAAACCCGCCAATGAGCGTATCCTGTGAATAAAGTTAAATGTTTTGTTGTCACATCTCATTTTCTCGTCAATTTACGAATAAATGACGTCACAGTGACGTCATAGATTGTCTGCGATATGCGTTAACTAAAATTTTCATTTATGCAATGAATTTTAACTATAATATTAAAGTTTTGGAATACAACACAACTACACGACAAGTTTTATCTTAAAATATATAAAAAGGGTACCATTCTTCAAAAAAGAAGAACTGCGCAGTTGCACGTGCTCTGGAAGTGGTGCAACATTAGTTAGAGGTGCGCACCGGTCAGATTCGGGTTCAGCGGTCATTTTTGTCCCAGAAACCACCCTTTGCTAAGCTCTACCCAATTTTGCGTTATTCGGCCCAAAATTGGGCCTCCTTCCCCTGACTACATTGTTTGGACCGTTTTTCAAAGCTTCATCTGTCTCTGCTACTCGTTGTCTCTGGCTCTGCTGAAATATGTCGTATTTTTATAAGAAATGTATTTTTTTTACCTTTAAGCTCCCGAAAAATATCGGCGGTACGGGATAAAATTATTGAACCGCTCGTAGGTAGAAAAATATTTTAAACGTCTCGCCTATCGGCTCGACGTTTAAAAGTTTTGTTCTACCTACTCGCGGTTTAATACAGGGTGTCCCAGAAAAAAGTACCACATTTGTTTAGACAATACATTTTGTGTTATTCGGCACGAATGCTTTAAACGCATATCAAAAGCGAGCCAGTTCCATGGAGATTTATTTGCACTGCAAATGGACCATGCCACTCCTTCCTGTCACTCACACCGGCACATGTTCGAAGTGCCTGCCTTCTTGGGCCAGGCACCGCTCCGCCCTGCACCTGGCTTCCTCTGCGACCCTAGCACATGCGGAAGGTGGAATCGCGCGAATGGCCGCGCGAATCGCCCGTTTCAGTGTCGCTAGGTCTTCTGGTGCCTTCTGATACACCACACTTTTTAGATAACCCCACAGGTAGAAGTCGAGGGGCGTTAGATCAGGAGAGTGCGGCGGCCAGGTCACCGCGGCCCGCCGGGAGATGACACGCCCCTTTAGACACTCGTGCAGCCAGGCCAAGTTGGCGCGTGATGTATGCGCCGTTGTACCATCTTGCTGCAGCCACTGCTGGTTCAGGGTGTCCGCATACCTCGCTGTGAGTGCCCGCAAAAACCGTTTAAGCATGGTAAGGTAGCACCGGGAATTGACAGTGACCGTCTCGCCAGCACCATTATCAAAAAAGAATGGGCCAATGATTCCCTGCGCGCTCAACGCGCACCACACAGTCACCTTTGGGGAATGCAGCGGAGCCTCGAGAACTTCCTCTGGTGACCGTTCCGCCCAAAACCTGTAATTTTGGAGGTTCACTTGCCCGTTCAGCTGAAAATGGGCCTCATCAGACCACCAAACACAAAACAAGAAGTTTGGATTGTTTGTGCACTTTTCCAAAAACCATTTGCGAAATTGTTCCCTCTGCTCAAAATCCGCAGCAAACAGCTTTTGAGACACTTTAAGCTTAAAGGCAGATAAGGCCAGATCCTTCTTGAGAATCCTGTGAGTGGAGGACTTGCTGAGACCCATCCTAGACGCGAGGCGCCGCACAGACACTTTCGGCGTCTGACCAACCTGCTCTGCGACCTTCCGTATGGCCTCCTGGCTGCGAGATGTTTTTTTCCGACCACTGTTTCCGGCATTCTGGTTTCTAATGGACCCTTCTGCCAGAAACTTCTCAGTCAGACGCTGTATGGTCTTAATCGTTGGAGCTTCTCGGACCTTAAAATGTCTGCGATACTGCCTTTGTGTTAAAACGGCTCATCCGTGTTTGAGATAAAATTCGACTATTTTGGTTTTTTGTTCAGTATTAAACGGCTTCATAACTGACAGAGCGCTCGTGCCATACAACACAATTTCCATGAACCTCGCTTTCGATTGACGTTAAAATTTTGCATGTCACGCGCATATATTTCTTTGTACTTTTAATTTAAATGTGGTACTTTTTTCTGGGACACCCGGTATATAATAAATGTAAATAAATGTTGTGGTTGTAAGTGAATGCATTTTCCTGTCTAATTTGTTATTGCAATAACTGCTGTTTTGCTCTACGTACGTGCATTTCATACATAACGCTATGATAACGCATTAAGCACAGGTCCGAATACAGGATAAACCTAATCCATACATACCATATACATAGGCGACTTCTGCCAAAACCAAAACACGTCTGTCGTTTTTATCTGTCGCTGGGAACTGTGATGACACGACATACGATACTTCTGAACTCTCCCTTCAGATGTCTATCACGCCTAACGCTCACGGCTCGGGTGTTCGGTTACACCAAAACCTGTTCCCTCTTCCGACATCAGATCTATCCTCCAGCAGCGGAAAGGATCGGTGTATGCAGTCGTCTCAATTTGAGCCACGTGTTAATGTGAACCGGGGAGGGTGTCACCAAGCCAACAGACATCGCATGTGATCTTCGATCACCCTGAAACGGTGCACCCAAGGGATCAGTGAGTCTGCGGAAGTGCTTTAGATTCAGGTGTCTTGCCAGGAGATCGCGGGTACCGCGGGGTATCAGTAGAGCCTTCTGCTACATATGTATGTGTGTAGGTACCAACCATTCATAATGAGCGCTTCTAAAAGTCAGCTGGTCCCAATATGCGTGTAAAGATATATCAGTCATTCATCTGCGCATTGCCCGCGAAAGATGTGTTTTCACTGAGGGATGTCTAAGGTCAATACGCTTATCCTCACTTATTTTTCGGACACTAATTAGTGTCAAAGTGCCCGATGCGTTACATGCATCAGGCGGCAGTCAATATCAACTCATGTAGGCATAAGCCATAAGCGCTTTGACATGATGTTGTTGATGAAATAATTCCTGACTCACTACGAAATTTGATTCTAATGATGTTTTTATCGTATAACTATCACTTGTACGAAATTCATTGCCTTTTATGCAGCCTCTCGCATCGAAACATATTTTAACAGTTTTCCATAATTTACTTAATACCTAGCATATGGGTGCGACTAGAGAGCCATTTAGCGCTCGTCGACAACCAAAATTACCAAGATTGTTACCAACGCATGGCCGACAATAGCGTTTTCACGTCGCCTTTAGCCTCTAGCTCGCCGGTGTGAATTTTGACAGAGGTTTTTCATACTGTTCTTATTCTTAGGCACACTGCTCCGGAGTCAGGCCTTATGCCTCTTGCATATTTGTTAACTATTTAAGTGTTCTATGCTGTTAACTTTTGATGATTGTACCATGACACTACGCCACAGAGCCATGCTAAAGTCGACATTTAGACGTCTATGTATAGGGGGAGATCCATCCTTTCGGGGATTTTATAGATACGATATGATATGATCGAAAAGTTGTTAACACTAGACGCTGAACAATCCGTGATCGAAATTTATACACGAACGCGAGCAAATCTAGTCACCGTATAGTATAAGTATATCTTTCGTATTTTCCATATGCGATCGCATGCATGAAAATCTGTGATGTGGGCAGGTGAGAAAATGTACTTCTTTTGGTTTTCAATGGCCCATGAGGAGATGCCCATCGCACACGGTGTGGCTTTCATATAGGACAGACGATTTATATCTCTATTCTTCCATCATTAGTCATGAGGCAGGGTTTGCGAAGTGGGAAACACTGGGACACTCCTAGGTGCCAGATGAGAGATTTGAACACGTTCCTCAGCTTTTCTAGAATAAGGCGAGAGTGAAACTATTTCAACATTATTCCACTTAGCGCAATCACAGAGGCGTGGAGTTGCACTGTGCAATGTGCATTAATGGACATTTAAACATATGACATGGGTTCATTTTCGGTTGTTTTACAGCAGTCAGCACTCTCAATTCTCATGCTTTATCTAGCTGCTGTTGATTTAATTTTGTTTTCCTTGTCTGAAAGCTATCAAATTCGAAAAGTGTGTGAATAACTAAGGCAGCTACAGCAAGCCAATATTGAGTGAACGTATTCGGGATATGAGTGTACTCACATGCTCCCGGACTTGTGGAGACACCGGATGTAGCCATCATCAGCAGCAGACTGAACACCACCGTCGTCCTCATGGTGATCTTCATCGCGTGTCTGAAGAGATCCCGTGCCGCTCCGACGTCTGTACGCTCTCACACGAACTCCGAATAGCCGTGGTGACGAAAAGTCGTCACTTGTTCTTCGCACACAGTCGCGACAGTCACACAGTTGCACCAGAGAACACGCTTAAGCCCAGGGCAAGCTCAGATCCTTCAAATTGATCGTTCAGATTGATCCTTTGAAAAATTAAGGATTACGTTTCTTCACATTCACAAGGTCGCCATGGTCTCCGGCGATCTCTGAAGTCTCTTGCTTGGGCGACTAGATATGTCGTAACAATCGACGTTGAAAATTGACCCGAGTTTCACTTTCTGAAGATAAGACGGCAAACTCTCCGTGGGAATATTTCTCACCACAGAGCTATGCCAGCTAACTCCTGTGCCTCGCAGCTCTGATCACTCAGTTCAGCGTCGCTTCAGATCTTCTTTGGCAGTCTGAAGAAAGATCCACTACGTGGCAGCTTACAAGTTGATGCACAGTCACAGTTGTTCATGCGAAAAAGCCGCTCACGACTACACTGAGAAAGAGCTGATGGACTTGCTGCCGGCGGACGCAAAATGAATAACTCGTCGGGGAGACAGATTCGCAGACGAACAGACGAGCGCCTGTAACCGCTTTGACAGAACGACAGAAGGGCAAACGAACTGGCTGGCTGACGGTCGGACGATCTGACGGACTCACTGAATGACAGACGGCCAGCCACTGGGACAGAGGACGGACGGACGACCTGACGGACTGACGGCGCCCTGACAGCCAGCCACTGGGACAGAGCGGCCGGTGCGCGCGCGGTGCCGTCAGCTGCCCAACTGCACCGGCCCGCACCCGGTTCCTCTCCCAGCTGGTCGCAACGCTGACCGGTCCCTGCCGAGCCAAAGGCCGCTCACGTAAGAGCTCCTCCGCCCCGTACCCACGCGTCCCGGACTGGATTAGGGATTAGGCGAAATGCTCGAGAAATGCTGGTTGCAATCGTGCCTCAGTGACCTTGACTGTTGATGATAGAGATAGTGTTCGAGGAGTGAGTGAGGACAGAGAGGACTTAGAACAAAAAGATGCCGTACGGGCCGTTTACCTTTGTCCGTTGAACTTCGGGTAAACAAGGACAAAATATCAGAGTGTGGTGAATGACTTGTCGTTGTGATGGTGTGATTCAAAGGCCTATTGCGCACCTTAGACCGACGCAGAAATGATGCATCTAGGTATATCTATCCTTGGAAGACGTAAAAAAAACATCCGCAGTTACACCGATTAAAACATCGGTTTGAAACTTGCAGCGATTAATGAGGGAAATATTATGCATAAAATTTTTGCCTCCAAATTTCGATACCGGTGACATCAGGTCAGGTTAACCCTCACCCGATATAGGAGGGCGGGGGGGGGGGGTCAAACCACCTCGTTTTTTTTTTTCGCGAATACCCGCGGTGTAAAAAGCGGCTGATCGCGACGAAACTTTCATTACCCTCGAGTTAATCAATTTTACACCTACCCTTAAAATTTCATGACCCCGACCCAAGTGACCTATGACCTGTGACCTATTTCTCGAAACCAGGTTTGGCCGGAACCGCGATTCGGCGTATATTGGCTCACATTAGCCGCGCGTTTGCAGTCTTTTCGTGGTTTCGGGCGTTCAAACATGTGATATGATGTTGGCCCAATGCAAAAGGGTGGGTGTCAAGGTCACCTGAAGGTCAGGTCAGGTGACAGGTCATTGACCTTTGATGATCTCGGCTCACTTTTTCGAGTTTCATATGTTTTGGGCTAGTTTTTGGAGCTGAATTCAAATTTAGCAATCATTTGGACATTTACGAAGTAGTTTTGGTGCCTTCTTAGCATGTTACAAACCTGTCAGAGGCGGTTGACACGTAATACGAATACCCGGCAAGACCCCTACTGGTTAACCTGACATGACCTGACCCAACCTGGCCTAAATGCATGAAGACATCATCTGTGCTCAAAACTAACATGGTATTCGTGGTAAGCGGCAATCGAAAGAACGTCCAAAATAAGGACGGAAACAATTCGGTCATTTTTTGGGTCAGGTCAAAGGTCAGGTCACCAGAGGTCACCAAATGTAAAATGTTGACTATTTCAACATTTTGGAAACTGCCGACGGCTATCTCGGGAACCGATAGAGCTACAGCGCCGCGGAAAAGCGCATCCGATAGCCCTTTTACAGGCCTTTCTGAATAATGATCTCAGATTTGACCTCAGGTCAACGGCTTACCTTCCAGAGGACAAAAACTCCAAAAATAGCCGTTTTTACGAAAAGCGTTTTTTTCGGCAATAACTTTTGACTAAAAAAAGCCATGGCATTACTTTTGCCAGCATCGTGTTCCTCTCGTCGAGACGCGTCGAATGAACTATAATTTGACATTGAAAGGTCAACTTGAAAATTTGCCCTCAGGTCAAGGTTATGACCTGACCGGAAAAGGTCATGTTGCATATCAGTCGATCCGCAACGTCGAGCCGAACACATCTAAGGCGTTTTCAGCGCTCTAGCACGCCTCTATCAGAAGTTATTAGCGAAAAACTGTTAGATTCTGTTCGTGACCTGAGATGACTTCGGGGACATAACGAGGGATCACAGTTGCCATTTTCCGGTTCAGTGTGTCAATTTTACCTACATCTCGATGTTTTGAGAGTGTCTAGAATAACGTTCGTGCAAAACAAACGCTTTTCAATTTTCTCCCGTTGACTTACCTATAATTTGGAGAGGCCGCAAAATTGACCTGACCTTAGGTCACCGATATCAAAATTCTGAGACATACATTTTGTAGATAATGTTGCTCTTATCAATCACTGAAAGTTTCAAGGCAATCGTTCAGTCGGTGTAGCTATGACGAGCATTCTTATTTTTTTCTGAGGTGAGATCACTTGGCGCGACCTGGTTACCTGACCTAAGGCGACCTGGGTCTGAAATTTTCACAACATGTGCGGAAAAGATGCACGAACAAGTCCGTTTTTTTAGATATCTGCGAAAACCGCAGGGGCGGGGGGGGGGGGGAGGTGCTCAAACACCTCCCGGCGCGGCGCGGTTAACGAGAGGAACTTGATGCCGGTAAAATTAATGTCGTGCAAGTTTTGAGTCTCAAGTTGTTGCAGAAAATCAGTTTTCGCCATAAAAGCGTAGAGATGGACAGGTTTTGCCCTCTGCAGGCTAAATTGACTGAGTCAAATATCAGAAAATCACTCTTAGAGAGCATAAAAAGAGCTATCATATGCGCTTTTCGGCAGCGCTGTAGCCCTATCCGTCCACGATTTACGCGCCGATTGTTGAAAAATGTTAAGATAAGCGAAAACTGACCCATGATGACCCCTGGTGGTCTTACATTTGCCATATAAAATTGCTCATAAATTTTGACGCTCTTTTGAACACCGCCTACTGCGTTTCGCTACAAGGCCCAGAAGCCGAATTTGAGAGGGAAGGAGAATTCAAAACACTCCTCCCAGAGGGTCTGAAATTTTCAAAGCAAGTGCGGTAAGATCAAAGGTGTACCGAAAATGGCAGCACATCTATGAGGCATTTGCGAGGAAGTCTTAGCAAGGCTCTTCTCCCCCTCCTCGCACCGGTCATTTTGAACTCTTGAATGTTACATATCGTTTGCCCGTTGTCACTGTATGGCCCAGGAAACATATAGGAGGGCGTGAGCCCCATCCTAGTTACGACATTTCACGATGGGATCTCCGCACTGCCCCGTGCCTTGTTGCGGGTCACGTCATCTGTCTGCTATATCTTAGTCATCCACGCAAAAGGCGAAAGATATTGTTTCGAACTACGAACAATCCGGGACTGGGTGTTTGTGTTTGTGTAGAGCGACGTAGCATGAAGAGCTTTGGCCATATCTTACTATTCGAGAAACAGCGTAAATACGCTGACATTTGGGTACATCTCCAAAGTTCCAGCTTATTTGTTCTCGTACTAAAACCGCTTACGATGTTCCCTTTCGTTCACCGAATAGGTAACACGTTATCATAAGCAAAATATTGTTTTATTGCAGCACATAAACCGTTACAAGTCTGCACCACCCCCTCCTGATAACATGAGCGAGTACAGAGCCGCCGTCTCGTAGGGGCAAACCGCTAATACCGCTAAGCGCAAGTCAATCTAGTCAAAATACTTCGCAATTCCTTGAAAATAATCACAAGTAGCGCACACACTTCAGGTCAATTCTGAGTCATTGCACGAAAGCAGCAGGTATCATCAACAAGCCTCGTGCGCCATTTCGTTCACCTATTCACTCGTCGACTGGGGTAGTTTCTAATGACTGGGCATCTCGCTGAACGTTCGTTCAAACTCCTCATCTTATACTGCTCACTCCAACACGGGCCCTCTGAGATTAGTACCGCGTCCGGCCGCTGGGTGGCAGCAGCGTCGCACGGCAGACTCGACATGACCACAGCACACGCGAACACACGACACGACTGGGGACGCCGGTCGTCGCCTACCTACTGTCGTACCCACCTCTACCGGCCCCTGCGGGTCACACAAAACAACACTCCTGCCTGACACGGGCCACTGAACAAATGCATCGCGCCCACACCGAAACAAACGCAGGCGACCGCGTCACGCGTAACAAACAGAGAAAATAAACAGAGAAACGCCCGATCACTGTGACTCGATACGATGCGTTTTTGGCGGCCCAAATAACGACTCTATGAACCACCCGACAGACTTCAAGACCGACGCCCAAAGCCATGACAATAGCTGAGATTGCCGGGTTAATATCAGACAAAATAGCCGCCAGAACATTGGGCAACTGAGATTCGCAAGAACAGATCAGCGAAGTGAGCCTTAAATAGCACGGCTGAAGATGTTACACGACTGTGAAATGGGACATGCCTTTGTGCTAAGTGCGGTTACAAATATGAATGACTTGCCACCCACCACATTGAGTTACCCTGGGGACGGTGCACCGGCTGAAAGCGATCCCAGATCTGATGACAATCGACGAGATTCCTTTAGAAGCGACTGGTCTGAGAAGGGGTCGAAGAAACCGTCACGGATAGTGTAAAGTGAGCGTGAAGTGTGTAAATAGTGTGTAACACTTTGGGACGGTGTACTTTGGAGGGATGTGTGAGTGTTGAGGAGCAGGCGACGCGTGCAGCGGGATCAGGTGGGTAAAAGTGGGACAACTACAGCCCGTAGAATTGACTCCGACTCCGACACTCGGCGACTCCGGCTGGCCAACTCACTCGTCAGGTGCTCACCCTCGCCCGCCCGCAGGTCTAGTGTCATTTCACCGACTGCGAGAGTACTAAGAGTCCGGTCAGAAGCAGCTGAACTCCCAGTACTCACAGGCGACGGCGTGCTCCTGCGAGACGGCGGCCAGTTCGAGCAGCCACTGTTCCAACAGCACAGCGGCCGTGACGAGCCGACGGGCAGCGCCATCCTCCGCCGCCGGCCGGCTGCCGCTCGAGGCCGGCCGAGGGGTGTACCGGAACCCGTCAGCGGTCGGCTCGAGGGGTCGCTCTCCGCCCCCGCCAGAGCCTCCCAGTGAGCGCCGCAGCATGGACGCCACAGAGTTCAGACTCAGTCGGCGCGGCTCAGACTTTGTCGCCGGAGCGGGTGGCGCCGAACCGGCCACCGGCTGCTCCTCGCGCGCGGCTAGTCGTGCCCGAGCCCATCGTACTAGCTCAGAGAGCTGTGGCAGCGCTGCCGTCGCCACGTCGATCCGGTGCTTGAGCTTTCCGAGCGTCTGCAGCAGCGAGCGAACGCTGGGCTGTAGCACTATCGACTGATCCAGAAGACACGACCTGAGTAGTGGTTGGGGGTAGAGACTGAGCCTCGTCAGCACCGTCATCAACTGTAGGTTCAACT